CAGATTTAACAAAACTAATTTCGGTAAATAAATTATTATCTATAACAAATCTCTTTGCTGTCCAAATAATAATTAACTGTAAGAAATTTTGCTACGATTGCTTATATAAAATTTACTGCGGCAGCAAATACTTTTTTTCCATGTATTACCTAAGTTTTTTTTTAATTTTATGTATAATCTTTTTTTAAATATTTTTTTTCTTCTATTTTTTCTACATATAAAAAAATATAAATAAATATATAAACAAACATAAGTACATTATTCAGAATAAAAATATATTGGGTTATTTAGAAAATTTGTAATAATTTTTATAATAAAATTGAAAACAATTCTTATATGTTTAGAGTCATCTTTGTTCAGTAATATATGCATCATTGTTTTCGACAACTTTTGGTCATCTTTAACAACTTGTGCATACATTATTAAATAAAGATATATAAACATATAAAAATTGTTTTCAATTCTGTCATAAAAAAATTCTACAAACTCTCTGAATAATTCAATATATTTTGTTCTGATCTATCAATCATGAAATACATTTATGAAATATTCCAGGATTAAATATTTATCAACGCATCTAAATCCTAGCCTATCCATTTTAAGATAATGAATCGAAGAAATAGTGTACTTTTCATAATTTTATTCAAAGTATTCTGGTGTATGATTATATTTTTAATATTATATGATTAATATTTAATATATATGCATTCAAATATATGAATTCAATTAGGCTGATAAAAGTTGTTTCAACTTCGGGCTCAATCAAAATCAAAATTAGAAACACTTTGCTTTTTTTTAATGTACAACGCATTTTGCAGGTTACATATTTTTTAATAATTTTTATAATTATAATCTAATATAACATGTATCTTTTCTAGATATATATAATAATATTGGTAACACATAATTAAATTTAATATAAATTAACTAAAAAAATAAGTACTTTGTTCTTTTAAAAACAAATGCACGTACAACTCAAAATACTTTTAAAAAATACGAGAGAATAAAATTTTGATATAATTACTATAAGACAATAAAAATTATACGACCTGCAAAGTGTCTCGCATCTATATATTTTCACACTATTATTCGATCCATTATCTTAATAATAAAAGACAAAT